TATTAAAAAAAAAAAAACTCCAGAAGTCTTCTAATTTAAAAAGTCTTATAAAGTCTCTCTATTTTGAATACCGGGTGACTTATTGAGACTCTTAGAAAGTTTTAATTGAATACACTGAGACTTTTAGAGATTTATAAAAAGTCTTTAAAAGTCTCAATTGAATACATGTAGACCTTTTAGAAGTTTCAGTTGAATACACCAGAATTTTTAAAGACTTTTTTTCAAAATAATTTTTAGAAAGATATCCTTGCTCCTGGTAGTTGAATACATGTAGACCATTTAGAAGTCTAAGAAAGTTTCAATTAAATACACCAGAAATTTTGAAAGTCTTAAAAACTCTTTAAAAGATTTAATTGAATACACCTCGTAAGTTGTTGATTATGAATTTTGGTCAAATATTACTGATTTCTTGAATTTCACCGGAATTACTTTTGTACTGTAAGTAATGGTTTTTAAAATATGACAGCATATCATTCTCTTGATATATCATAAACCAGATTATACGAGAAGGCGACCCAGTCCCGCGTATTGTGTTCATGGTGCGAGGCCAAGTGAAAAGTAGCCAGAGGCTAAGCCGTGGAATGGTGGCCACGAGCCTCCTCGAGCCAGGCGGGTTTTTCGGAGACGAGCTCTTCTCATGGTGCCTGCGAAGGCCGTTCATCGAGCGGCTCCCAGCATCTTCTGCCACGTTCACGTGCTTCGAGTCCACTGAGGCCTTTGCTCTCGAGGCCAATGACCTCAAGTACATAACGGACCACTTCAGGTACAAGTTTGCTAATGAAAAGCTGATGCGGACAGCAAGGTATTATTCGTCTAACTGGAGGACGTGGGCTGCCGTCAACATCCAGCTTGCGTGGAGGCGTTATAATATACGAACGAGAAGTGTGGTCGGCCGCCGTTCGCTGAATGGTGATAGTGATCGGCTGCTTAGGCAGTATGCGGCCTTCTTTATGTCGGTCAGGCCGCATGACCATCTTGAGTGAAAGAGGGGACGTGTGGATTTTTCTTCTTATTCTTATTATTTATTGTCCTTTTTGTGTTTGAATAATGTGATTGCGAGAATGTTGGTTCTGAATTGGGTTTATTGCATTTATT